GTATCTCAGACTAAAGAAGACCAATCAGGTTCAAACACTTTAGTATTGTTACAGGGCTCAGACTATCAACTATATACGGTAGTAGCCCAGACTTCATATCCGTAACCCAAAATTTTCGCAGTATTTTCCGTTTGCAGAGTAAAGGAAAAACAGTTATATTTTTCCTTAGAAGAAACGATTTCAACTGAAATTTCTGCTGTATAAAGAAGAATTAAGCAGTAGCAACGATGTAAATAACGTAGGTATTCGAATGGTTTTAAGGTAAGAGGGTGTGGGGCAGCCGCAGCTTTTCTAGGGTTGTGCCACACCCCCATTAACTTAACTTTAAAGAGAATATTAGAGAGTAAATTGTAAACAGTTCGCAAGCCAAAACCTCCTAGTTTTTGCGGAAGTGATTAAAGCTGAATTCATTTTCTTTCGTTTGAGCAGCAGTTGCTGGAAGCACAATCACTGCGAGCGGAAAAAACGAGATTTTGGCTAGCTCCTAATTCCATAGTTTAATGTTTATTTGAAGCAGGATTCATGGTATAGGCGAGCATGGAGTAGTGCTTTGTGCAGAAAGTTGTGGCTAATTCACTCTTGAAGTATAGTTAACACATTGACGACCGCTTGACATACACGGTGTGCCAAGGTTCGACACACCATGACTCTCATTGAAATGGCTATTAAAATGTGTCAAACCAACTCAGGAGTTTTCCTTCATGCTGGATTTAGATACAACCTCTACTGTTTTTGCCAGCATTCCAGCGCTACTGTAGGTGTACTGTAGATGGAATTGTGCGTGATTTTATTTGAAAAATGTTGGCCGGTCCGAGAAAGGCTTCGGTCGTCAATATGTTAATCATGTTGAAAATGGCCACTTCACTGAGGGGCTCAGTGTTAAGAACTCTCAGAATTTGTTAAATCTTGGTCCACAGGGGTATTTGACATGACAATTATGAATATGATACTAGTTATGCTTGGCAGAGCCTTTATGTCATGCCTACGGCAGGTAAAGGAAAATGTTGGGGGGAGTATCGAGACGGAACTTACAACTTACAATTTGTTAGGGGTGGAGAGGGGGGGGGGGAGGGTCGCATCCGGCGTTTGTTGTTACACATCTTGCTCGACCCCGCTCATAAGCTGTGAAGAACGTTTTCAGACTGCACACACGTCAGGGCCAAGCTTTGGCTTAGGCTCGATACACTTACTTCCGCGAAGAGCCTAGAAAAGCCATGGGAGATGCTCTCTATCTATCTTTTGGAACTCCTACTATCCTGATCTTATAGTTGACAAAGGAATGAACTGGGATTGTCGATGATTAAATCCCTGGAGAATTTACAAGGATCTGTCTGTGTTTCGAAGCCTTTCTAAGAACTTGATGGAGACGTGGTGAAGGGTCCATAAGAGCTACGACTTCATCCGACAACACGAAGCTTATTTTTGGTAATAACTAAACTTTGATGTAAAAATTTTGATGACCTATTTCTCGCGAACAGGGGTTTGTGACTTCCATTTTAAGTCTTAGCTGTCATGTCAACATGCTCAGCATTGCTATAATAAAACCTAGCACAACTCTACGCATTTTATCGATGGAAAGATATATGACATTGAAAAAAAGCAGCTGTTTTCTAAGGATTTCCTCGCCAGAAACAAAAAATTTTCGTATTAAATGGTAGTGCACTCTTATTCATTTTGCTCAAAGATTAAGCTAGTAGATCCTTCATAAGATTTATAGACAGAGGATAACACAGATTTGCAGAGCGAGATATAAAGCGTCCCTAACAGCTCCCTTCTCTGGTGAGCGGCAATGTGCGTGCATACGAGCCTTATTGTAGATCCTTAAGGCATCGTAATACAGCAGTGTTTCCTCTAGTCTATTTGGATTGCACTTTACAAAATGTCATCATTTGTATTCATGTGATGTTTCTAAATCCTGCTTTTTACGATGGTATTTATATTGACTCCATGTTTCGACTATGTCGTCTTCTTTGGGAGACCCAGATACGCCGCGCTGTTAGTAGAAAGTTAGTAGCCGCACAGCAACGGCGGACGACACTGTGTTTGACGAGTGTCGTTCGCCACTGCTGTGCAGCTACTAACTTTCCACTAACACCGCGGTGGATCTGAGACTCCCGAATAAGAAGACTTAGTCGTAAGTAGATACAATGAAGTTACCATCGTAACAACCAGGATTTGACTGGGTGTTAACATTTCTCTAAGGCCCTGAGCAGAGCTCATGCGATTTCGTCGCGTCGCGTCCTATCATTTTGGACAAGTGTTCCAAGCCACGCTGTTTAGTGTGTGGGTCCCGACGCGTTTGTGATGGCTGCGCGGCGCGACGGATCGCGCCATACTTTTCGGCGTTCATAGCTCACCTGGCGATGTCGTCGCGATTTTGCCGAATCGGCGCGATGTCGCGTCGCTCGTTTGCGGCGAGCGACGGCGCGACCGTCGCGCCGATCTTGAACTGCATTTTCGATGTTAATGTTGCAAGTGCTGTATTTTTGCGGTTTATGAGTGTTTTCGCATGAAAGTTGCAAATGCCAAATTATGCATCTCCTTGCATTGTTTGATGAGGGCAGTTAGTCTTCATTTTGCATTTTTTCCTGTCTCTTTCAATCTACATTTTCAATTGGAAGTAAAACAAGTTTTACACCTCAAAGAAAGCTCAAGTGAGGAAGAACGCAAAACAGAGATCTGCACACGAACTCACTTTTCAGCTAGCACAGGGATTTACATAAGGCTTCCTCGCTTTTTCAATGAGAGCCTTCACTTCTTCGCTAAATTGAGGGTCCTAATTCGCCAAAGCGTTTGAACTCGACCTTGCGGCGTAATTTTGAAGTAGTTATTTGCAAACAAACTGTCTGTTTGCACTCAGAATAAGCAAGAACGGTCGTTTTGGTCAAATCAATCAACCAATCATTGAAATAAAAAGCTAAGCATTTTACCAGCATAGTGAAAGTTTAGACTGTGAAAGCCAGATAATACAGTAACAAACTTCAAGGAGAGCAGTGATTTTCAGTAATGAATTAGAGTACGTGCAATGTGTGAAGTGTTGTGCAATTGCATGAAATGCGTCGGAGGTATGTACGCCTCCGGCGACTGAGCGACTCAGTCGCCGCGTCCAGTCGCCACTCTCGCGCAAGTCGTCGCGATTGGAGATCGCGACGACTTCGTCGCGTGAGCTCTGCCCAGGTTCTTAGGGTTGCCCGCTCAGGCGACGCGAATCCCGTCCGCCTTACCTGGACCCTGCGCTCGCGTCTGTGACTTGCTTCCTGGCACTTTCTCCTCCAGCCCGCCATTAAAGGGAGAGTCGACGAGCCGGCAACACTATCACTGAGACAGAGAATACTTTGAATAATGCTTGTTTAACAACGATCTTCAGCGGGACTCTTTAGTCAATGTCCAGTGGCAATCAAGAGTTGAACCTCTGTACGAACAGCTGCCATTCATAATCGTCTCAATGAACATATCAGATCATTGTATCAAGTCATTTTCTACTTATATAAGGAAAGATACCTATCTTAGCTCAGCCTTTTGGAAAGAAGCATTAATATTTTAGATCAGCTTGAAGCGCAGTGATTCCACATATGCTAACCTTATCTGCGTCGCACAATTTTGAAGCGACTTATAAGCTTTCTACAATGAGAGATTGGTTCTACTCATAATAGAAAGACTGCCTGTCGGCAGAATCTGTTTGGAAAAGGTGCTGGGATGTACAACATCAGATAAGATCTTTCTCTAGCGAGAAGGAAGTCAGCGCAAGTGTATTAGCACTTACAGGAAGAGAATACTTAGTCGAAAACATCAATCTAGATGAGACATACATCGTCTTAAAGCGCTTGTAACGCTGATTTCAAATCCGTAGTTTTTAGCAGCGGAGCGGTTTTGTAAAAGGACTACGAGGGGTTTCACTCTGGAGCTGAGGTGCCCTCCAGCAAGTCTCCCCTTATCTATGAGCACTGTAGAGGAGTACCATCTGGTGGCAACTGGCCTAGTGGTAAGTAATTTGAATGAAGATTACAATAAGGATTATAATACACGTATCACTTTGGTTTTTTAACACTTCTAATTGATTTTGCAGGCTTTAGGGCTCTGAAGCCATTTAGAAGCTCAAATTTGCAAAAATTGCGATAAAGTCGCATGCGAAGGTGATTAAAACCTTGACACTCTCCTTATTAAACAAGTCACTTACCACTAGGCTTGCCACCAGTTGGTACTCCTCTATAGTGCTCATAGATAGGGGGAGACCTACTGAGGGAGCCTCAACCCCAGAGGAAAACACACCCCTCATAACTCCTTCTACGAAACCGCTCCGCTGCTAGAATTTACTGATTTGGAATTAGCGCTTCAAGAGCTTTAAAACGATATAGGTTTCATCTGGTTGGTGCTTTCGGATAAGTATCTTTCCCTTGTTAGATAATGACGCCACGGTGCCAGTAAGTCGATGTGTATGTAAACTTCGGATAGAAAAAAGCCAGTCAATAACTCGCTCCAGAATGAAGCGCCGCAGTTAGGAACAGCATATTTGGAATCAGCGTTCGAAGCAAATTCAGATTATATATGTTCCCGAAGGGCCGAGCTAACAATAAGTTAGGTGACTTTTGTTAGAAGATTTCATGTAACACAACAAGTGTATATGTTCTTCACAATAAGATGCATCTTTGACAAGTTTATTACTGCAATGGAACAGTCACATGCAACGTTCGCTCACTTGATCCACATAAAAGCTACATCAATACAATTGTGTTCTAAAATGTGAACTGCGTCTTAAAAAAGAGAAAGGAATTCAAAGTCAACATTACATATGAAGATGATTTGCTGCGCATACAGCTTTTGAAGCCCTAGCTACGAGCCAAAAAACCTCAACAGGCTTTCCATCTTAGAAATTTGAAGTCTTTCATCTAATTTTTCTCTAAAGCAAGATTACGCAAGTGTTGTAGAAGATAAGCTAATACGAGGAAGAAGAACCCTTGTTGCAGTAACCCCTTTTTCATTCACAGGAGAGATGCTTATCTGCTTTTTCGATACTACAAAATGCTCTGTAAGTACTTAATAGACGGTGACAGATTTGCGAAGATACGCGCAAAGCACGCAAAGTTCAGATTGTACAGGAAAGCCTGAAAATACTTGCACTTCCTTTTAAGTAGGTCTCCAGCGGAGATCAAGGGAGACCCGAGGCCTCTGCATGGCAAATATTTTCATGCTTCCCATTTCACTTCAGCAACACTTGCGGGTTCTCCCTTTCTTCTTACCTAAAGCTCTGCTTGCTAGGAAAACGTGCACGGTCCAAGCAGAAGCAGCCGTGGATAGGCTTTCCTAACGACCCACATTCAAATTTTCTGCCATGAAGTTATAGTGGAAAGCCTGTTGAGAGCTGACCTGACGCAAATTTGCTTTTGTTTAAATTAGTAGTAGAATTGCAGCAGTGAAATATATCACCTTTGGAATCAAGACAATAATCTTTGCCTAATGTTTCAACCATAAAGGTTGCCTAATTCGTAGTGCGCGTCAGATCGCTTTTTACATAACTACACTGACAGCAATTCACACTATTGTGTTCAAATAAAAGCATAGGCTGGGACTTCATTGTCGTAACTGCACTAATTTTTTTTTCAAAAATTAGATCGCATGACGTGACCACGAGGAGTCTACGCTTCGTCGAACGCCATTACACCGGCGATAATTGCGAATCCAATCACAGATGAGATCCACTGAGCGTACTTATTGTAACTTTTTGAATTCTCAGGGACCACGATCTATAATGAACATCTTCAAAAGTCGTCGCATTTTTCAGAACGAGATTAATGTGATAGAAAAAAATTTGAGTGATTAATTTCAAGGACGCCGGAGTTAGACACTTAGATATAAATCTAAATTCTCTCACCTCAAAGAAGGTTATGTAGATAAATGTGCCTAATGATAGAGTGACAAGAAGACATATGACACCGTCTTTGACTTCCATGTCCATACTAGAGTTCTAAATTTGAGAGGATTTATTATTTTGTGGCCGCTGACCCGGGTTTTTTCGACACTTACTTGTAAAATGATACCAATGACACCTCCAAGAGACGCAACAAGTGCCAAAGCACTGATCAGTACGACGACAATCCACTTTTTATTTGGATGAGCTTCAGCAAGTTTCGTCCCCACAGAAAATGCAACGACAGCTTTATGAGCAATAATACCGCAGAATAGTGATGCCACGGAAACTGTGGAATGCTGAAAATTTTTTAAAATTGGTAAAGATGCTCTTACAAGATTTTCTGATCATTGGAATGTTTGACAGTAAGCTCCAGCGCCACCTGCTTGGAGGTAGAAAAAGAGGATAAGTACCTCTACCGCGGACGAAAAAAATGAGAATTTCATTCTTTCAACATTTAGAGCCGCAGAACCGTGCTGTTTGGTGCTATTTGGCTTGCAGAAGTAAGAAGGTAAGCGAAACCCATGACTAACCTGTACACCAAATGCAAATCCTTCCAAGCTTGAGTGGAACATCAACGCTAATACAAAGGTCAACGATCGTACAATAGCCACTCTTGAGTCAATCTGGAACAATTCTATGTCTTTTAAAAAACTACGGAGATCAACTATTTAGTACCGAGTCTGTATCACAGGCTTCTTCAACGTTCGCATCAGGACTATATGTCGTTGTGCATTTCCTACGTGCGTGCCTAAAACGTAATTATAAAGCAATTTTTTTTTTCAGTTTTCCGAAATTATATGTTTTGAACTTACCAGGCATCCGCATGCCCGAATGATTTAGCTATCATCGTCTCGAAAATATTCACCATGAAGAAACCAATCATAAACAGCAGAGGTACCCATGGGTATTCGGTTTCCCATTGTGCGTCTTTTTTAAAGCTTTCAAATGATTCCCTGCAAAAAATTGACGTCAGTCATTCATTTGTAGGCAACTATATTTGCTATGCTTGGCTTTGTTCTGGAATTTGGACCAAGGCATCCTAGTAAGCAAAATAATTCAAGTAATGCTTACAATGCTCCAGGGAGTAAATCCAAAAAGCATACTCCCAAGAATACACCACCAGAGAAGCAGGAAAGTAATGAAGTCGCTAGTGCAGCGGTTTCTGCATATTTTCCTTGTTTATGAGAAAGAATGGCCATCACCTAAAATCATTCTTCGATTTTTCTCGAAAAAATTGTCTTTAATTTAAGCGCAAGTACTGGTTTACCTTTAAAGGCAATAAGCCAAATCCCAATGTAACAAGTGAGATCACTGCAAGGAGAATTGCTTTGAGTAGAGTAACGTCCATTGCGTGGTAGAGATTACTTCTGTAATATCGCAATTTTATTGAATAATTTTGATCAATAAAAAAGTCCCCGGTTAAATAAAATGAGCAAAATGCGCTGTATGTTGATCAGAACTCAGAAAAACTCGAAAAATCTTGTGAATAACTGAGAAGATTGTTCAGAATGATAATTTATAAGCGCAAAATCTCTGCAAATAACTAGGAAAAAAAAGGAAATGGAGGTTAAGAAAGGTACAGTTCCTAACAATGACGAAAATTGGTGAAAGACCGAGTCAGAAGCGACAGCCACAGGACTTAAATGCCTAGTTGCAAACCTGTCCCTAATAGGAGTCAGGTGCAGATTGACTCATTAATTAGATAAGATCAAATGATAAATGAGTCAGCTACCTATTTTGTGAAAAATTATAGCTAAAAAACGTATTCTTCAAAACACACTAGAAGATCATCTCTCTGATGAAACGATGATGATTTTTAAAGATCCTTCTCAAAAAGAGAGTGAAAGCATATTACTATAAGATAGTGTAGGAAAAGTAGTCGCACAAAAGTTGCTGCTATTCCGTTTGAATCACAGGATTTTAAGAGATTTTTGCAGAGTCGAGCCTGATTTTCCATGTCGATATTGAACAATAGGTAGAAGAAATGATACACAACTTAAAAACAGTTACGTCGATGAATGAGGTGGTCATAACGGTTCCTTCCCTAATTCAGATGAAGTAAGAAATCGATGTTTTGAAAGAGTTCAATGTCAATGCATCGAAAATCATAAGACAAACTGATCCATCAAAGTCAAAGAAGAAAATAGCAGAAGGGTGAGACTGAGACCTGCCAATGACTTTCAGACTTATGACAGATTTATACTGACAAAATCTCAAAGTACCCTTTGAGAATGCTGAAGTGCAAAAAACGAGTTTTTAGGAAATTGGAGAATCGGGTCAGCTGCACTCTTCTTGGGGTATTAGGTGGAGATGAGGAACTTAAGTAACCGCATCACTGAGGAATTCTTTGATTGAACTGACATCGGAAAAGGCTAGACCATCTTGGGATACTGAAGGAAGAAGAAGTGGAAGTAAGGAGAATATAGGCGATGTGTACTCACTAATGTTTATTGAAGTCCAAGAATTACAATATAGTCCACTGAATTGCAGAACACAGGTTGACACGCTACTCTATGGGAGAGAGAGGAAACCAGCTGACAATTTGATTTGTACGGTTTCTGCTGCATAATGAAGAGATTTAGGCTTGCAAAGTATGTGACTAGAACAGTGAGGAAAAGAGGTTAACGCGATTATGCTAATAATTAATGTCAAGAGCTTCTAAAAATTTTTGGCATTTCTTTGTTGCTTCCTAGATGTTACGCGTTTTTTGAAGGAGGTCAGAGTTGAGATTCGTAATTGGAGTGTGACTGTGGGACCTTCAATTTATTCATAAAATGCCAAAATATAGTTACCGTGGCAATTTTCAAGCAATGAAATCTGAATATTGATAATTTTCGTCTGTTCTAATCGTCAATTGGCTTTTCCATACAGGCTATTTACTTTCAAAAAAAAAACTCAAAATTTCTCAAGAGCTTGTTGGGCAGACTAGAGAAACATGCTGAAATCAGCTTTTCAGCTCTCTTCAATAGTATGCAAGAGATTCCGAACCACCTCTTCGCTTAAGAATATCTATCCCTTGGAAGTATTTTGTGTTAGAGTCAATCAGGGCTTCCTTGGATGGACAATGGTGAGCAGAGAACCACCAACTAACGCGCTTGCAACTTTCTGGAAATAATAAACCATAGAACGACTTTTTTCAATGCTGTAGTTAGAGACCTACACAGTTTGTTGTTAGGAAATATTTTAAAGAACGGAACTACGACAATAAAATTTTTTCAGAGGATGCTAAAGTTCTAAAGAGTAAGAAAGCAAACACTCTCTGGGAAAGACCTAGCAGACAGTGTTTGTCCAGGTTCGTTTGCCGGTAATAAATAGCATCGAATGCAGTTCCTCTTATGGCGATCACACAAAGAACGACATCATTGACTGCGAGTCACTCGAATTATCTTCTATGTCCCGTTTCTCTTCGCCATTTTTTTCTCCTGTCTCAGAATTCATCATACGATCAACATAAATCGTCGATAAATCTTGTGTACGAGAGACATTTCCAGAAAAACACCGGTCGCGCGGTAGAGATGACAGTACGTTTTCGAAACATCAAAAGCGGCGCAAAGTGCAAAATTGTTCGCTCGTCCACGTTGCAGCGCCCCGAACTGTGTGGAGATCAACTACGTCATAATGAGCGATGAGTGTTATTGTCAATCTTCATTAGTACATCTTTGGTGTAATTTAGACTTTCAGCACGATCATATGGGCAAGCCATCCATAAGAATCGTTTGAAGAAGATTTGATATGGATCATTATGAAGAGATTGTGAGAAATTCTCAAGGACTGAAAGGAATTGAAAAGGGCTTGCATGGGGCGCAACAGGCAAACCTGCGTGACCATTCTGGCCCAAAAAATACAGCTCTGTATTTATAGCAATGGAAAACATCTATGCTCCGAAAGTGAAAACTTTCAGCGTATTACAGTACCGCCTCCGTGAAAATCTGTTTTTAAACTCAACCCGTCCGAAACGCCGCGTCCATATAGCTCTCCTAGAAGTCAGATTCCAGCAGAAAAAGCATTGGCCCTGAAAGCATTGTGTTCTGTTCACTTCATTTTAACCGGAAGTGTAGAAAATTTTTCTAGAACCCTTGCCCTTCTAAGTTCGACGCAAAATTGAGAGCCCACGATCTTGAATGTTGCCAGCTCATAATTGATTACACGGCAGCCATAACTGAGTCATTTGAAGGATAAAAAATAAGGATTCGGCATCGTCGATACCCTCGGACATGTGCCAAACCACTCTTCTTCATACTTGGAGAGGACACAGAAGCATGCCCATTACACTGACATACGGGGGCCAGCCATCGCCAGCTTAGTGCTTTTAACCTCTCAGATTACTCTGGTGCGAATTCACCATTTCCAGTGAGTAGAGGGTCGGTTAGCCCAGAGGCGAGGGTCAGACCTTGGTCCGATCTGGTCATAGCGGCGCCTCATACCTTTACGCCACTCGTCTCCCCGTTTCGTTATTGCAAGAAAAGAGGGTTTTCTGACCTACTGTTTCCTTTAGTCTTTTTGGACCAATGTGAAAACTTTAGGATCGCTTCAATGCGTTCGGATTATCGCCTGCCCAATGTACGTGTGCACATTCTTATTCAATTAGTCGGGTAATTGCTCGCTTTATGACTTTACAGTAAAGGAGGCCGTTTGAGTGATCATGATTGGTCACCAAAAACAGGAAGGAAAGTTTGCAGAGATGCCACAATTATGTCATCAATTCTTCAAGCTCATGATTTTTCTTTCTTTTTGTCTTTCTGGAGAAAATTGCAATTTAGAGTAGATACTGCCAGGACATATATAGACTGTTATTCTATAACGTAAATACTCATTTCTACCAAACCAGTCAGTGTGTAATTGCACCACTTTTTTAATCCGCAGTAAACGCCGATGGCGGGGAATGACCATCATAAAGACAAGAAGTTGCAAAACAACAAATTTTGGAAGAAGGGCGTTTTTCAATGCTACAGATCTGCTGCAGATGCAAGAACAGCATTGCACAGAGTGGCAAGTTTTGGAAAAGGCTGTTTATAGATGATTCATACTCATGACAAACTTTCGGTGGCGAGCGCGTATTCAGTTTCCATCGGATTCTCTTTCTTCCTCTTCACTAGAAACTTCTATCCATAGGCTTATTTTGATGTATTACGTTGTTTAGAAAGTTCTGCCAATTCGATACCCAAAGACCGAAGTAATTGAGAAAGACGGCGTAAAGACATGTTTTCGACCTCCGGTCCTAGCTATCAAATACGCCTCAGCTTTAAAAAAATCAAGATCTGGGCAATAATAATCCAAAGAAGTACGGTTTTCTATTCCTCTAAGGGAAAACGCCATTTGGTTGAAAGCAGCGTCCGCCCTAGGTCAGGGTTCTTGAGCTTCTGGCAGCAAATTAGTAGCCTCCCCCTCTCCTTTATGAAGTCAATACTTAGTCGCGGCGCAAAATGTTGCTTCGAAAGCGGAAAACTCGCTCCGATGTAAGATGAAGAGGCACAAGGACTCTAGTAATGCCCGCCTCGCTCGTCCCCCCCCCCCATCCAATCGCCGTTCGGCCACGCAGGTTCTCCGCAAAAGAGATTGTAGGGGTTTTCGCGGATTCTTACTTACTTAGATACTCAAATGGCTCGTCTTCACGTGGCGTGCGGGCCTCAGCACACAAGTTTTCTTCGATCTTTGTCCCTCGCCTCAGACATCCACGATCTTCTTGGTTGCCGTCGGTGGCTGCGTCCACGAGTTCCATGTGCGAAAATCGTATCCAGCTGATTTCTCAGCTGGTCCATCCGTTTCACGAACACGTCTGCCCATGTCGTCGGTGGTCTTCCTCAGAAGGTTTCGCTTCGCGACGAATTCATTTTAATGTTCTAAATGTTTTCGATGTTCTAAATGTCTATCTATCGTCTGTTCTTCTCGTTATGTGACCGGCCCATCGGTGTTTCGCTTTCGCAACGTATTCCGCTGGGTCACGAAGACGGGACATTCTTCTCATACCCGTATGCGAAGTCCGACTAGATATTGTTTGCGTCGGGTTATCCTCTGAAGACTGCGCTCGAGCGCTTTGTGGGTCCTTGAAGCTTTCGGCATGGCTGCAGTGTCGGCCCAAGTTTCAGGTGCCTAACAGAGCGCCGGGAGAACGTCTATCAGTTGGTGTCGCGGATTCTCGATTTTATATTTGAAATCAGGGACACGAGAATATCGCCGAAGGACAAAAACATGAAATCCGATTATTTGGGTGGATGGTGCCTTAACCCTCAAAGCTTGCAGAAGTCTACACCTTCCGTATTCGTCCGTTATAGCCCTCTTTGATTTCTATCTGCTCCGCTAGGGCTTCTTTCGAGCAAGAAAGATTTTATGAAACGTTTGAGAATCAAAAATAAAGCATCCAGAGCGCAT